GATAGATCGCCGGGTTTGATAGCGATATTCTACGTCAACAACCAGAGATACGCGGTTTTTTCTAGCGTTTTAGTAGTCCATTTGTAGAGATTCAGCTAAAAAGAAGATACGGGATTATGTAAAGTCATAGCGGTCTAGATCACTAATTGGTAGTTTACTGGTAGCGGTAAACCGTCTATGCTGCAGTCGAAATGTGGTCTATTAGCTAGCAGGGGACCTAAATAGGAGTAATCCACCATGACCAAATCCTGATCGCCAAGTATTAAAGTTGGGACGGACGACACCGTCTTGCATCATCACTTTGCGGGTGAAAAGCGAAAACCGAATGGAGCAACAGAACTTATTAGCCCGTCAAGTGCAATTTGCACGTCAACCATACTTTCGAATCGATGTCGTCGGTGTACTTGAAACCACACGGCTTTCCACCAGCTGTTCATCCAATATATTTTGCAAACCGCCAGCATGCCAATATGGTGCTCTCAATAGGTTTACATACTGCTGTGGCATTCCTTTGCGAAGCAGCAGATCCACCAGGCCTTCGGAGTTGACTGAATCGAAGACTCCTTTGAGGTAAATGAACACTGGTTGTTGGTTGACGACGTGCGTGGGGTAATTTGGGGACTGGGCACAAGATTTAGGCGACGCAACCGTGACTTGGTCGTAATCCAGCTTGCTGTTCGAAAATTTTCATCTTCTTTAACGGTGTCATTCGGCTAAACATCGAAGAAATTAACGTTTGTGACGATCGGAACCAAGCTTTTTTCACGGGATTGAGTGATTTCTTCCTGAAAATCGGTAAGTTCAATGATTTGCCCCTGGATGACCAAGTGATCGATCAACTAGTCCGTTGAAGTAGCACGCTGTTACCACTTGCTGAAGTTTGGCGCTAGACAAGAATAGAGGACCTATACAGAACGTAAGTAATCGACCGCTGTTCTCTGTTCGATGGAACGGTAGAGCGACCTCATAGACAGACTTTAGATGCAGTTACTTTTTCAAATTGTGCGTTGAAATCGACGACCAGCATAATTATATTCGGAGGCTCGGTTGAATGAATTCGGTCATAAAAATCGTCCTTTGAGCATTGAGACTGTAGGTGGTCAGCACATGCTGAACACCAACTGAACCCCTGAGCCCTATTGAGCAGTAACGGCTGCTGACGGGAATCTAATCCATTATCTCGGTTTCAGTTTCGCTGTTGGTACGACACGTTTCTAATGAGCGAGCCCCGTCACCTAAGGTGCGGAGAAAAACCAACGAAGATGGACGGCTCGTTCAAGTAGCTATAATACTAGATTCCGCAATCCGTGTCTCTAATACGGAGCAAAAATCGATCACTAAAGAACAGCTAGTACCGAGAAAATAGGCTTGTTGGTCAGCCTGAGATTTCACGTTGAATGCGCTTAGCTTCAAACGCTGTTGAAACCTCAGAACCCATGATTTGTGCTAGTGCACTAGACCTAACGGGTTGCATGACGGGCTTATAGATCAGAAGTAGGGAGGGGGGACGGGGGATACAATAATCTTTACAAAAAAGAAAAATGTTCCATGATTCGCATTTGGGCTGAATACTGCCAGGTTCCCCGGCCAAAGCAGGTGAATTTTCTCGAATCCACAACCGGAGCCGTCGGCTAGCCAGTCTGACTAGCAAGGAAGTGGGGCAGTGTGAAAACCGCGAAGGGATTTAGCCTTGGCTGGTTTCTCACTCCATGGCCGATTTCCATGATTGAAAAGCAGACCCCAAGACGTCTGGCCGTTCATCACACAGGTATGCAATAAAGAAGATGAACGAAGTTGTGAATTACGCAACCCTAAGACGGTGTAGATATACTTTGTGAGCTTCTTGCTCGGCTTAGAACTACTTTTCATTTCCACGTCTGAGTTCAGACCATACCAAACAAATCACGGTGCGATAGCCTTTGTAAACAAGTAAAAAGTTCATGATCTTCCCGAGGGCACAGCTAGGTGGTTAAGCCAATTTTCTTAAGGGATTCACAATCGGGTCCTTCGGCTAACCAAAATCTGAGCGGCAGAGCAGCGAGGCGGTGAGACAGCCAGAGATCATTGGGAGCAGTTTCCAATCCATCGGACTATGTGCCCATTGGACAGACGTCCAAGGTGCCCAATACACCTCGATGCTTGATCCAACCGGTGAGCACCTATTCTGCGCTATTCATGTACACACGTTGATGATGATATGTACACGTTTAACGTTCGCCGGACGGGCGAGGAGCTCCCGTATGGTTCTTATCGCCAGTGACTCGAGGTATGCATTCGTGTCTGGGCGATACAGTACTTCAAGAACGCAGCCAAGCATCCCCGTCAGCGAGTTGTCATGTACCTCGTCCACCGTATCAGCCAGGCGAGCACTCCATAAGTTGGTTATCCAGCGCAACTTTCGGTACGTGAGAAAATCCGATTGAAGGAAGCTTCAACAAAGTGAGCTCATGTCCAGTTCTACTCGCGTGGAGGGAAGTACATACACATATACCAATGTATATATGCATACGCATCTGCATCCGTAGAGACAGATACAGATGCATAGATCGTTAGAAACACATGTATATGGCTATATATAGGTTAATCTAGATATATTATCCATCATTTTTTAATTAGTCCCAAAATACATGGGCTATGGTGACCTTAGATAATGTACATACCTTTAGATTTATTGGCAGGAGTATAATCGAACCCGGGAGTTTGTCCGGTCTTTCGGCCAAAAATACCATGCAGATTCGGTCCGGTCTTGTTTACACCACCTTTGTCTACAGTATGGCACTGCGCACAGCGTTGCACAAACAACTTTTTTCCTTTTTCAAGATCACCAGCCGGGATACCCATTTCGGCGCGACGAGCACGGCGAAAGCGAAACCAAAACAAATGCCCCGCTGTAAAGCAAGTCCAACAAGGCACAACACTGGACACAGTGAAACTGCAAATTCCAAATTTCAGGACAAGAGAGGGCCTTCTCCCGTGAGGTCCAATGTCCAATGTCCAATGTCCAGTTTACAGGCGGAGAAAGCTCGTTGGCTTGTA